GCTGATCCCCCCCGCTTGCCGCGGTGCGGGGCTTGCCCTTGCCGGGCACGGGGGCTGCAGCCGCGGCGCGCCTTCCTCTCCCCTGCCCGCGACAGCCAAATTGCGGGTGACACGTGTGCGGCTCCACCGAGCCCTTTAGTGCCCCGGAGCTGCAGCTTCTTATATTGAAAGCGATTTCCGAGTTTCTCCGGGCTTCTGATTTCTGGGGCTTCGCAGGACTCCCTGACCGCGCCGGTCGCAGCGCAGGTCCTGCATCTAAGCCCCTCTGAGCTCCTTCCAGGCTCTCCTAAGCCAGATCCCTGCCTCTTTGAGGCAGGTCAAGGTTATTGTGCTCTTCGTGCAGTGGATGGGGAAAGTGGAAATGTAGACAGACTGTGGGATTTCCTCAAGGTCACCCTGGGAATTGGACCCCAAGCATCCTCCCTCTTGCTGCACCCTCTGCAGCTGCTGTGTGAGGATGAAGTTGTGGAAATCGGATTTTCCAGTGCCCCAGCCTCTTTCCTGCGAGACTTCTCAGCTTTTAGTTTATATACCTTGCCAGGTGTCAGGGCAGGATCCCAGCTATATTTATTTGGCTTAATGTCTTTTAGCTATTAGATGTTTACAGTTAAATAGTGAGTGTTTTTACCATAGTATGTTAATTTCTGAGAGTCTCACTGCTGTTAGGATCTTTGTGGTGCTGCTGCTGCTGTTGGGATAGTATCTACAGTGATTTTGGCCACTGCAAGTAACTGTGGCTTTGCTTCTCAAGAACTCACTTCTTGGCAGTGCCAAGCAAAAAGGCAGCTGAACTAGAGTGGTACTGATAAGGATGTGTCGTACGGGACTTTGGTGGTGGTTGTCTTCTTGTCCTCTACTTCTGTTTTCTTTGCAGGCTGTAATAAAAAAAGGAGTAGGCAAGGTTTAATAGGAGGAGTTCCTCTAACCTCTTCCTCAGAAAATAAACACCAGGATTTAATGAGGGTTTACCTCTTTGAATGTCTTGCCTGTATGATTTTTAACTGCGTGCTACTACTTGTAGTTGTTCATACAGGTGCAGTTTTTCTCCTGGTGCTGTGCCCTTGGGCTCATCTGTTCACCAAGTGAGTGCCTGGCGTAGTAAACAGCGTTATGTTTTGAGGGTGGTGGCGATCTCTGGCACTGATGGATGGCTGAGATGGAAAAGGGATCTGTGTCATAAACTGGAGCCCTGCTCTGCTCTGAAGGACAAGTCTGCAGTCCTGTTTGGTGCCCAGCAATCTTGTTAATGTCTTACTAGGATGCCAGAGCCGTTGAGCATCTTCCTGCTGCCGTTTTAGGAAGGGGTAGTGTGCTGTATTAAGTTACTAAAAGGCTGAAATCACTGACAGTCTGTGAAGGCCATTTGCTCCCTTTTTCCTGCCAAGATTTAAATTAGCGGGCAAGATGGGGGAAATACCTATCTGTCTGGCCAAGGTGACAGCAGCATGTCCATGTGGAGCAGCCCCCTGCTCACTTGTGCGTCATGTTTTGTCTTGTAGGTCTCTGGCAGAGCAGAGGTGTAATCGAGAGAAGGGATGGAGGCACAGTGACTGGTGGTTGGTGTGCCTTGGAACCTGGGAGCCATAGGATTTGGAGCTGTGCTCTGATACGGGAAATTTGGGGAAAGTCTTGCTTAGAAGCTGCAAGCATTTCATGTGCCTATACAGCTGTTCTTGCATAACTGTTGTCATCCTGAGAATTGTGAAATAGTAGGAGGGAGAAATTTCCCAGAGTAGGGCAGTTGTGTTTCCAGGTGAGTAAATGTTGTGCTGTGTTTAGCTAGGGTAAAATCTGTGTGTAAAGCCAACATCCCTGACCAAGGGCTTAATTCTGCAGATTCCTGGGAGAACAGCTTTTCCTTGAAGGTTAAAGCCCAATCTAGGGAACATTATTGTTGCAGGGTGTGTGATGACCATGCAATGCTGTGAAAATAGTTAAATATCTTTGGCACTTCTTGAGGAATACACCCAGTGTTGATAGCTGGGTGTGCAGCTGCAGTGTGAATTACAGGTTGTGCCCTGAGATGGGGGAAATGTCAGGAGCCCCAGGAAAGGGGCTGTGACCTGGTGCTGACCCTTTGGTCATCCTGTGCAGCAAAAGGCACAGGGATCCAGCAGGAGCTGATGACTCAGCAGGATGACCCCAGACTGTCTGGGTGCACAAACTGTAAGAATATAAAAGCCCAGGAATACTTTTGTTAGGGGTTGGTCAGAGGCATCAGGTCAAGCTGTTTTTGTGTCACTGCACTATGATTAAATTACTTAGAGGATCCAGACATCTGAGACTGCTGTGGGAAACCCAGGGCTGAGCCAGTAAGGAAACCCTGCCTGACTGACTGTGGGATGTGCAGGGAGCCAAAAGGGCCACCCAAGGGTTCGCTGCAGCCATCTGCTGTGAAGGGACTTTGGTCCCAGTAGTGAAAGTCTTGCAGTGGGGGGAGTGTCACTGACAAAGTGGCTCCTGGGTGGTCAGACAGGAAAGTTTCCTTAACACACTCTGGGTTTTATCTGAATAATCTGCAGCCAGGAGGCTGTAAGATGGGTGACTGATGAGTTGTTCCTTCTTCCTCAGCAAGGAATACCTGGGTGTGGAGAAAGTATGCATGGTCTCCATCTTCAAAGGGTCAGGCCTTGGGTTTGCTGCTGGGCTGGCAGTTACTTGTTTTAGAGATGTTGGCAAGCCTCTGGACTCTCACCCCACTGTGAAAATAAAAGCTCCTGGAGGGTAATTGCCAGATTCACGGTAGCTACTGGAAGGTGGGATGACCTCGTGAAGTCCGAGGGATGAAAGGGGTGTGCAGTGGGAAGAAAAGTTTAGCAGCATTGGCCATAACTGGAGAGGGACTCGTGTTCCTGCTGCTGACTAGCAGCAGGTCTGCCTTGTTCCACATGATGCTTGCTTTTGTCACTTGATCCCTGTCACTTAACCCTGCATGTCCTTTGCAGTCAGGGAGCTGCAAATCTTTTGCACTCCCAACTTTCCAGTGCCATCAAGATGTCTTGCACAGGGTGTATCTCTTAATGGGCTGGGTTTATCTGCCTTAAATCATATTGTGCTGTCAGAATGACATAAAAGAGATTTGAACTAGGCCCCAAGGGGAAAAGAAAAGAGTTAGAAAAATGCAGTATGTTTGTTCCATTGTTGAGAGAGCCTGGGCTGGGGAGATAATGTGTAACCAAACCAGATTTGGAATGGCTGGGACAAATGATCCCGAGTGCTGCAGTTAATGTGTGTTAAGAAAGGATGCTAGTGCCCTGTGAAGGGAGTTTCTGCAGTTTCCCCTTTTCTAGGCCTTTCAGAACAGAGGTTAATTTCTTCCTAAGCCTGCCTTTTTCTGGGCCTTGCCTTTTCAAAGCGTCTTTTTCCCCTGTTGTTTTGTTGTGGGTTTGTTTTGGTTTTTTGTTTAGTTTTTTGCTTTGTTTCTTTGTTTTTCCCTAGAATGAAATTTCTACACTGCTGATGGTCCCTTCAGTGGTGTCCCAGTGGCCCGTCAGTGGTGTCCCAGAGCTGAGCATCTTCACCCTTTACTGGAGTAAGTTGATACAGTTCTGGCAGACAGTGGAGCAAATTTAGTTTGCACCAGCTGAGTTTGAGCTTCAAACTCATCATCGAGTGGGAGCTCTCGAGCAACAGGAAGAGTCTGGTCCCACAGCCTGTTTAGCCTGCCACTTACAAGTTTGTTAATGTCCTGTTAGGCTTCCAGCTGGACATGTCTTTCTCCCAGCTGCCTCTGCTCTCCTGTTAAAATCTGCAATACTGCATAGGATAAATGTCTGTACTGCTCCTTCTACAACAACACTGCAGAATAGGGAAGAATCTGCCTGTGCACAGCATTATGTCTTCTTCTACTGCAGGTATATAAGGACTGGTAATTATTCCTTTTACATCCATGATGCATTCTCCTAAATCCTTAACTGTGTTTTCAGGAAATGCAAAAGCCTGCTTTAATGCCCATGATTGCATATTCAGACTCTCTTAGAAGTGACCAAACATCTGCACTACTACAGTCTGGGAGAGATGGAATTGTCAATTACTTATAATGGCAAATGAGTTAGAGATGCTCCCTCATGTAGGCCGTGCATTGTTTTCATTTGTTACTCTTGAACATGTTTAACACCATGTTTGTGTTCCATGGTGCATTCCTCATAAATGACTGCATGCACTCCAGCCTTGCTGGAGACAGTTGACAGTGAGACAGCAGGGATGTGACTGCAAGTGCCTATTCTCTGCCAGAGAGGTGTCTGAGGTCTAACAGGGCAGTGTGTTACAGCTTCTCTGGCACCATGATGTAATGAAACCATCTTCCTTCAGCAAGGCTGAGTCCTCTTGGACTCCAAACCTGCTGGGTTTGAAGACTGTCACTTGGCCATATCCAGCTGACAGTGGCAGCTTGCTAGAAGCTAACACTGTGTTGCTCCATCTAATCCTAACAGCAGATAAATATTTTTTCCTGTTCTCTTTTGTTTGCTTTCCAGCACAGAGATAGCAGGAAGGAGGAGGTGGATTGAGCTGTCCAATGCCAAACCTGGGTGTTGCTTTAACCTTGCACTATTGATTGTCCGGTAGTTTGAATTATTGTGAAGACAAAGTAACAGGAGGTACAAAAGCTTTAGAAAACAAGGCAAAATCCCAGACAAACCTAATGAAAAGACCTTGTCACTCTGTGTGGTTTGGATTTCTGTCTGGCAGTTTTCTCTTACGCATCTGCAAATACAAAAACTTTGAACATTTTCTGCCTTAGGTCAGCTGTCTACATGGAGATTATATGTTCAGAGAAGGGAGAGGTATCAGAAGGAATATGATAGGTTACTGTTTATTTAATTTATGGGGTCTCTGTTGATCATAATTTAGTACAGCCTGTGGTGAGCTGCTCACAGGAATGTAGACTTACTCTATTTTGTTAAACCTTTTTGTAACTGGTACTTGCTCCCATTTTGGTAGTCCACTTGTCAGTGGGTGACTGTGTCTTGTCAGACCTTCCTGTGCCCTGCTCCTTCCTTTAGCACTGATGCTGGTGTACGGCATATCAGGAGAGCTGTCTGGATTTTTTTTTTTTCTTTCCTGGGTCTGAGGTATTTATCCAGAAGCCAGCAGGAGAGAGGCTGGTTTTGACCCAGCTAAGTTTCCCCAAATAGTATGAATTTGAGGAGCTGAAAATGACTAAGTCACATCAAAGACTGTGCCTGTCCCACCTGGAGATTTTGACTCTATGTTTGGGGCTCATACTCTCAATTTAAAAGCTGTCCCAGCTATGAGGAGCTTTGTGGGCAGGGTGGGGAGAGGGAAAAAGAAGGAAATGTTCCCCTCTTATATAGGACAGTGATGCTTCTGCACTGGGTGAGTAACTGGCTTGGAGGAAGTGTTTGGGAAAAGAGTTATGTGCTTTTCTTTTTTAATTAGAGCACAAAGGTAGGGGACTTTCAGCAAATTATTTTAGTAGGAAAGAGATGCAGTGCAAGTGAGCAATTGATTTGGATCAAGCCAGAAATAAGTCCAGTAGCCATGATCCTTCGTTTCTGAATTCAACTGCAGCTTTCAGTGAAGCCTTTTAGCTTTGACAAAAGGTTGTGCTGTTTGGTGTGGGAGCTCCGAGCTGGACAAGTGCTGGCTTTTGTGTGGATAAGTGTCTGGAATGAAGCTGTAGCATGTGGTTTCCTTAGTCTAGGCCAGACCATCTTAATTTCTGCTGCTGATGATCAGTCTCTGTCCTTGTCACTGTGGTGTCTGACACCTTACTGCCCTTAATGGGTGTGCTGCCTGCACACTTTGGCAGAGAAAAGGGCAGTTCCCTGTTGCCTGATGGGTCTGATGGGATGGAAACACCTTCAAGGCCATGTGCAGACTGGAAGCATGTTTGGTGCCCTGCTCCATGCTGTCCCCTTTGCTCTGTGATAGTTAGGGATTTATAAAAAAGAAGAAATTGTATTTTAGGGTCAGGCTGTGTGAGTAGCTTACTGTGAATTTGGGTCCTGCTTTCTCCTTTGATACAGATTTAGAGCATGAACTGGGGTAAGCAGTAAGATGTCTGTCTCTGATTCTGTCTCTTACAATCCAGTGGGAATAGCAGCACTCCAAGAGTTTACCACTTCTACACAATGACCACGACAGCTATTGTAGAAAGTGTGATCTGATGTAGTAAATGGTCTGTTCTTCTAGGTGTTCCATCTCCCTTTTTCAGTTCGTCTTGTCTTTCTCAAGGATAGCAGTACTAGCCTTCTTTTCCATGCCCTGGGCAAGCTGAGCTCTTCTCTGTAAGGCAGCTGGAGCACTTGCTGTTTATGAAGGCTATTTTGTAAGTATACTAGTTTTTTTATAGGACATAAAACTCATTGTTGTTGGCTCAAACCCTTTCTCCTGAACTATCCACTTACCTTATTAGCAGCTAAATATGTGCATGACCTGAGCAGCTGTCGTCTTTTTGATGGCCTTTTTAATTTTTTGCAGGAACTTACAATGTAGATTCACTGGTGCCTCACACTGGTTCTATGGAGAGCTTGAAGGAAATAGCTTGGATACTGAAGTGATAAGCACTGCAGAAATGCCAGACGCTATATAAACAACTAAACTCAGCCCCCGGCCCTTCCTGAAAGAGGGATGATTTGCAGAAATACTTCAACAGATGGTCTGAATTTGGCTTTGGAAGGGGTGGAAGAAATGCCAGGTCGCTGCTGAGCTGTGTGTGGGCGCATGGCCGCGTGCACCATGCAGCGTGTTCCCTGCCAGCACGCTCTGGGGAGGCTGAGCAGGCTGCTCCCACAGCCTCCTGTGCTCAGGAGGCATCTGCACACTGCTGACTCAGTCTCTGTGGCTCTGCCTGTGCGGAGCAAGCTCCCATTTTCCCTGTGGTGAGGTTCAGCTGTGCCCGCTAATCAGGCTGCTCTGGTGGAGGTGAGCGGTGGGCAGTTTGCAGACAGAGTCAGCTTGTGGGAGAGGCTGCAGAGCTGCTGTGCAGTTTATGAGATCCTGCTTGGCACACGGCTGAGATTGTAGGAAGGCCGCCGGGTCAGCTGACACTGGCTTGTCCCTAGTGCAGGTGCAGTGTCCTGGACCTGTGTCAGTGCAAAATGAGGCAATGTGAAGCTGGAAACAAATGGCTCAGCTGTGGTAAAGGGCATGTGCTGTTTGGGCACACCTCTACATACATGTGGGGTGGCAAACTCGCTGGCAGTTTGAAAGGGCGTGGGAAAGGGTTTACACGTCATGGTTGGGAACCCTGATGAACTGTGTCAGAGCTGGCTGCTGTGGCCAGCCTCCCCTCTTCCTCTCCCCAACAAGATTACTGCTCCTGCAGAGGAGGGAGAACACATTTCCCCCAGAGTGCTGCATCACGTCTTGAGTGGGCTCTGCTCTGGGGCAGGCAGGTTCCCATGCCAGTTGCCACAGCTGACTCCAGCTGGGTTATGGATTGGAGCCCAGAAGTCCTTGTCCACGACCTCTGGAGCAGAACAGTGTGTCTAGTTCCTGCGTTGTCAAACTGTTGCTAGTCTTCCAAGGCAGTGCCTGTTCCACTGCTCACTGCCCTGACAATTCCTTGTATCTACTGCTGCCTGCTGTTGCTGCCACGCACTCTTTAAAACGGTAATTAGAGCAGCCTTGTGAGGTGCCCTTCAGGAGTGTTTTTCATTTGGAAACTTTTTGAAAACCGGTCTAATTCTTAAACAGTGCAAGATTAATTGCTTCCCTGAGAATGTGTCAGGTGAATTCTTGTGGATACATCTGTCAGGTAGCAGCATTGCACTGTGCATATGGAATAGCCAGGTGAGACATCTGATGTTCAGAGAATGATTTTCCAAGTTTGATATACTTCACTTTTTTCTCTTTTTCCTTTCTTGTGCTCATCTCCCTGCACTCTGTTTAGGTAAGCAGGACTGGATGTGTTTTTATTTGCCTGTAGCCTCCAAAATACATTGTCTTCCTGCTGGGAATGCCTTGCCTGCCTTACAGCCTGCTGATTCACAGCACTCTGGGTGAGCAGGGAGCTGGTGCATGGATTATGCCACAGACTCCATCAGGCGGTGGTTGCAGTCCCCTTGACAATTCCTCTGCTTGTCATAGAGTGTGTATGAGTTTCCCTGGAGGAGCTGCTAACCTCTTCAGAAACAACATGACCTGTGTGGGGCTGCTGATGTACATTTAGCAAGGAACCATTTTGCTGCGATCTGAATAGTTTTGGCATAAGCAAAACAGCTGAGGTGGGAGGCAAGAAAGGCTGTTGGCAATGCAGGAGTGGAGCAGTTGTGTTCACGTACCCCCACAAAAAAGGGACTGGCAGCAGCAGTGTCCTGTGGCTGAGAGGCAAGCAATATTGACTAACATGACATTTAAGTGGCATTTCTTCTAGTGGACTGGGAACATTAGTGAAATTCTGCCTTTGACACTGAGAAATAATGAGATAAACTTTGTTCTTCAGAGAGGTCTCTACCTGCTGTATCAAAGCGTTTGGAAGGCTGGGAAATGGCCTTTTGTTATCCTGACAATCCTCCATGTCTGGTCTCTTGTACAAAAAAGAGACACCTGAAATACAGCCTCAGCTCTAGTGGGCAGCTGAGCTTGCAGCATGTACACCAGTGTGGGCATGCCTACATGGTGGCTCCTGCTCGATGCTGCTCAGTCACCTTGCCTTAGCTCTTGACTCCAAAGGGTGACACAGGAAGGATCCATCCTTTCATGTACTGAGGTCCTGTTTCATTAACCTGTGATATTTTAGCATTGGTTCCCATGCTGGTGACTGATGCTCTCGGTGCACTGTGGCTTTGCTATGGGGACAGGATGCAGGGTTTGTGAGATGCTTTGCAGTTTCAGCTAGACTCAGCAGTCCCTCTTTGGGACTCTTGAGTGACAGCTATCAGTTGAC